TCTGGAGAACATGCCGCGGTTTTCAAATAGGTAGGGGCAATGGTATATGTGATATCCACTTAGAAAGAGTATTTGTTTTAGAGGGGTAAACTGAAGTCTTAACACTGTTCTTAACTGCCAGTACACCGTCCATGCGAACTCCGGTACCTCGTTTGAAAAGGTTGAAGCTTTGGAGAATCGAAATCGAGCCAATCTGAAAATTTCAGGGGCTTGGCGCTCCAGCACTGCAATGGCTGGTGGCGCCAGCCAAAAAACAAAGAGAATCCGATCGAGCTGCTCCAAAAGTTTTGGAGGCTCGGGACAGGGTGCACGAAGGGCCATTAGAAAAAAAAAAAGTCCCACGCCATGGAGTGGCACTAGGCCCAGCCTTGAACAAAAGCAAAATCACGCCTGCCTCAGGTCGGCCCTGTCCCGAGTCCCCTAACTTTTCAGAGAGGCTCATTCGCATTCTCCAGATGTATGCCACTACTTTTCACAGTGTCGGGAAAAGTGGGAATATAGTCTATACCGCATTCTTCGCGGACTGGCCCAAAAGTAGGCAGCTGTTGATAAATTTCCTCGGTGGCTTACTTTTCATTTCCCTCCTCCGAAACTCGTGTGCACTGGCCCGCAGCCGATGTAGGGGAAATGTATTGGCTAACGTGATCAACAGAGTTGCATGGCAGGCGATAATCCAACCCAAAGTGGAAGGGGGATTGGGCATAATCTATCCAACAACACAAGCCAAGGCATTGGCCATACAGTGGCTCAAAAGCCTGCTCTTTTGCCCACACATCCCATGGAAGGAGCTGGCCTTCTAACAAATCTATAAACTGGCCCTGGAGACACCGGCCCACATCAACCCGCTCACATGGGTTGAAAACAGAGAATGGCCAATCCCAAGACGACGGTCCCAGCAAGCAAACGCGTCGGCCGATTCACCAAGCCAAGAGGCAAGGGATGACCTACACAACGACCCCCTCTGGCCAACCCTTCTACAGATATGGAGGAACCTCCCCCTGTCAGACAAACCCCAACCAGAAAGATGGGAAGAGGTAGCCCGATAACTGCTATTTGGGAATAGAGGGATAACGAACACCAGGGGTCAAATCCTTCATTGCACGGACTCTCCCTGGAAAGGATGGGTGGAAAGGGGGGTTCTTAGAATAGGGGATATTTGGGATGCCGACAGGAGGGATTGGATCAACCGGGACCAACTAAAAGAGAAACGACGATACTGCCACAGACCAGAGGAAGCACTGAAAAGTATAAGAGTCTGACTGGGTAGCAATCAGGGGCCGCTAGGGGGAGGTGGGCAACGTGGTGTGCTGTAATCCAAAAGGGCCAGTGGTGGTAGATACATTCACGGTAGGTAATGACAATTTCCTTCAAAACAGATATAGTTCTTTGGGGTGGATGCTTCGGGTGAAATACGGATGGGTGGCGTTTTCTCTGGACACACCGATATCCCGACTGCCGCTAGACCCATTGGAGTGGGTATCGAGAAACACAATCGGTAGGGGGAAACCTGCGGGACCAGGTGGAAACGAGATGGATGAAACACCTGAACGTTAGCGAGGAATCACTAAGAAACCTTTGGTGCATTTTCTGTTCTTGCCACTCTGCCACCTGCGGGCCAACGGAAAAGTACTCCGTTCTTGCCACTGCCACCTGCGGGCCACTCTACCGATTCTCCGCACTATGGTACCGGTAGCCCTCATTAAATTGGGGTACCGGTTCCCCAATTTTTTTTGTGGCGAGGGGAGTGGTGGTTTAAGAGGCTGAAGAATGTCCAGGAAGAGTAGCTGGACTGCTAGTGATTACAGATAGAAACAGGCGGGCCCCAAAAGGGCTGAAGAGGCAGACCTAGCTCACACAGTTAAATAACCCAAAGAGCCTGGGGTAATTAGGCGGCACAACACAATGATCTGGATAATGAGTTCTTTCTGACTGTATAAGGGACACTGGACCCGTTTTCCAGCAGGTGCAGCTCCCCACCAATAGATGGAGTAGCTGGAGGCTACTACTAGTGGGGGCTGCTCGTATCACTCCTTCTAGTAGACAGCCAAGGCTTTCCCTCAAAAAAAAAATAATGATAATAAAAAATTGTTGAACCAAAAAGTGCTTCTTCGGAGCCTGACATCTACAGTGAATGTGAATCGAAGTGGGCGGGAGGTGGTGCAATTGCCGACTATGTGTGTGATGGCCTTGAGGTATCGCCATAGAGCTGAGTAGCATAGGTAACTCAAAATTATGTGTGGGTCACTATTGCATACCCCGACGGTCGGCGCCCCTTGACTGGTCGGCTGCCGACCAGCCACTGCTGGCAACCTGTATGCATGTTGCAAACTGCATCTGACCCAAATCTGGTCTGCAAAAAAAAACACAATTGTACCCAGCCCCAACTGCAAACAAATTTTCTGGCCAGCTGTCCAAACGGGATAGCAGGTTTTGGGCCTTCTAGCAGATTTTCCAAACTGCACCTGACCGGGGCAGAAACCTCAAAAAATGCCCAACTGTAGCCAGCGGGATCAGGACCCAATTTAATGCCACTTTGACCGCTCAACGATCTTCTGCTCTAACCAGGTACGTTTCTTCTTTTTTCGTTTTGTTTGCTTTTTGAATTGAAAATTCAAATGATTGTCATTATTCAGAAGCAATGCGTTTTGTTTGCTTTTGGAACTGAAAATTCAAATGAATGTCAGTATTCAGAAGCAATGCGTGGACCAGCACGGTACGCCCCTTCCCCCCCTCTCTCTCTGAGGATGCATGCGCGCACCAGCGTGGCACGCCCCCTCCCTCTCTCTCTCTCACACACTAGTTGCCACTGGCCAGTTTACTGAGCTTAGAGGCTTCACAACTTTGGAGTTCGTCTGCTAGCTACCCCAACACCATTTCCCGCCCCAACGACGTCAATGTGACACTCAAACATCTCACACGTAGCTGCCCACTGCCCCAAGGTCCTGCCCCCACGGAATTGAACTAACAAACTCCAGCATGTTGCCACCGCCACCCTTGAACGGCCTCCACACGTGTTCTGGAAATGAACGCACAGACCCTTCATTCGGTCCAGATACATTGACACTGTTTTGCTTAAGCTCTTTGTGTTCCCAACCTTGCATGTTTTTCATTCAGCATTGCATTTTTTATTCAACCCTGCATAGACTGCGATGCAGCCAACGGTTGGGAGGCAAAAATGGCCTACATACTCCAGCCCTAAACTCATGCATATGTATCATATTATATGTATGTGTGTATATATCGGCAAACAGAGTATATATATATGTGTGTGTGTGTGTATAGTGGCATGAGGCCTGTAAGGCTGACCCGACTAGTTCTGCAGCCAGCTATGGCCCACAGGCAGGCCATGCCACCACCTGGCTAAAACCCAGCTGAGCCTGCATGTTCCAAACTGCCCGTGGACTGCGCCTGTTGGCTGCAGCTGGGTGGGGTGCACACGGCCACCTGATTGCAGGCACCAGCCGACCAGTTGGCCGGTCGGCACCTACCAGTCGGGGGTCACCGGGACCCCACATTGTTTTTATTTTTAGTTTTTGGGGAGTCCATAACCCCCAATAACCCCACCAACACTACCATACCCACCCCCAATACCCCCAA